CCCTATCATCCTCACTAAAAACATAAACCTCTCCCCTTATGCTTCTTCCATTCCCCACCAATTATCCCCAATTCCACCATCTCATCGGCTCCTTCCCTCTTCCCGCTTTATCAGGTCTCGCCCTTCTCCGGCGGCCTCGGCGGGAGCGGCATCCCGGAGGAACGGCGCAAACGAAACCGTACGTTCATCGACCCCGTGACGGAAGTGCCGCGTCTCGAGCAGTGGTTCGCCATCAACACGCACCCGAGTCATAACCTCATCCTCAAGTACACAGAGGAGCTGAACCGGATGCCCTACCGCCAGAAGTTCCCCAAACTCGAGCCGAAGAACGTCCAGTTTTGGTTCAAGAATCGGAGGGCGAAGTGTAAGCGGCTGAGGGTTTCGATGTAAGGTGGAAGGAGGAAGAGGAGGAGGGAGGAAGGAAGATGGGGGAAAGAGGAAAGAGAGAGAGAAAGAGAGAGAAAGGATGGGTGGGTGGAAGAGGAGGAAGAGAAGACAGAGCGAAGAGGAGGAGGAAAATGGGAGAGGTGGAAAGAGGAAGAAGTTGAGAATAAGGGAAGAAGAGAGCGTTGATGTAAAAGGAGTAGAGAAAAGGAAGAAAACAGAAGATGAAGAGAAAGGTGGGACGAAGAGTAAAAAAGAAAGAACGGAGAAAGGAAGGGTGTGAAGTGATGAGGTTGAAGTTGAGGTTGGCTTTTGTTTGTGATGTTTTACTTGAGAGGTTTGAGGAAAAAAAAAACACAAACAAATAGAAAAAAATGGAGTGGATTTATTTTTACTTTTCTTCAAGAGAGAAGTCTTTTTTGGCGTAGATGTGGACACTATTCGTACACAGACTCAAGACGCTCATATACGCGAAGAGTTGAATGCATGTTCGTCCATGTGGGCTTTCTCTTCGTTGCCAGATCGACATACGTACAGTTTCACGCGCAAGCACCAGTGCGCACATCAACGTACGCACACGCGAGAGGAAGGAAAACCAAAAGAAAACAAAAGAGAGAAAAAAAAGGAGAGAAGAGAGGAGAAAAAGCACAAGGAGGGAAAAAGAATCAGCAAAGGTGTCTTGAAAAAAGGTGAACGATATGTCGAAATGAATTTTTCTAGATTTTGGAATTCTAGGTGCGTTGTCAGCCCCCTAAAGAAAGATGGAAAAAACGAAAAGAATATAAACAAGGAAAAATGACACTAATTTGAAACTGATGGTGACTTTTTCAGAGGTCTTAGAAAATTGGACGGCAGAAATTCCATGAGAAAAGTGAGTTATGAAAAGACACTTGCGAAAATAGTGACGGTATCTGTATGTATGTGTGTGTTTGTTAGTGTGTGTGCGTGTATTTCCTGACGTACATGGCAGAGGCTAGTCAAAATTCTTTCTTCTTGTGTACGTTTGAAAATCACGAGGAAAAGAGACATATGAAATGCAATTAATTAATTCCGATGTACATACGGCAAAAAAAAAAAATAGATTTGGAAAAAATGAAAAAAGAAAAAGAGAGAGGCTTATAAACAAACCTTTTAGTCTATCGAACACATACCAGGAACGCACATGAACTTACGCACGCACTTACGCACACGGAATCGACCCGAACGGCAGTGAACCAAACCGAACCTCAAGAGTGAACCGCAGGCAGGCAGATCCCATGCGCACGCAACCAGCACACTCCACGTTAAGTGCATTATTTTCTGTAACAAGATAATGTTCAAAACACGACTTTTGTGTATTTTCGTTCAAATACGGACACGTTCTACGGCGCCGTAGTACTTAGAATGTAATTTGTAAACTAATATTAAACTTATCTATTTAGGGACGAAAGAATTCGGTGGAGACTGAATAATTGTGATAAGATGAAGAGGAAAGGAATAGAGAGGGAGAGGAAAAGAGAGAGAAAGAAAAAAGGACTCCTGTAGCAAGCATTTCCATAATTATTTATAAGAGCATCCTCTAACGTCACAGAGGTGGCGCTAGTCCGCACCCAGTCACGACATCTCTCCTTAATCTCGTATTGACACTTTGTGACGCAGTAAATGTGAAAATAAGTCAAATTATTTGGGAAGAGCAAGAGGGGGAATTGTGATCCTATTGAACACTGAACAGGTTTCACACATATGCTGTACACTTTTAGACGTAAGTATATAATCCCGGTAAGTCTGTTAGTCGACCTCTAGCGGGAGTTATGGAAGCTACTGGAGGGGTAGTGAAATAGCGCTTCCCCGGGCGGTCGGTTAATGCAAGAAAACAATAACAAATACGACTATTATTATTGGTTAGTAGTTTTGCCAGGGAAACTGAAGCGAACTATTATCAGCGTAACTCACAAAAAAAAACTGACCTTAGAATCTGATATTTGATATTATAATCTGTTAATGATACTATATGTAGAAGAAAAAAAAAATTGAATGCAACCTTTCAAAACTCAATTTAGGCCAATTTCAAGCATTTCTTTCGATAAGGCGATGTAGATAGGTAAATATGACCTAATTTCCTCAGCAAGATATGTATCTAGATATGGAGAAATTTCTTTGTTTAATTAGCTATCCAATTCATGCCGTTTTCTTTACCTACTTAACCCAGTGTTGTCGGTGTTAAAACATTGTCTAGTCACTTTTGAAAGAGAAAATGGGAATATATACAAAAAAAATATATTATTTTTATTGATCGGACGAAAAGAAATCCATTTTTTTGTTTTTGTTTTTATTATCATCATCATCAGTTATTATATTTATTATCATTATTGTTACTATAATTATTCCTTCTATCTTTATTATTATTATTATCATTATGATTATTATATAAAAAAAAATCTTTAGATCACTACAAAACGAATATGGTTCCGTTTTATAATTTTCCGGGATATCATTTAGCCTGGGAAGTCATCGCATATGGCAACTGTTGAATTAATGACGTAAGTCCGGATATTGATAACGCCACGATCCATTGTCATTGCTAAGATGGTTCTGCTAGTGACGGTGAACTAGGTTGGCGATTTCTTATATATTATATATATCTCATGGCATCTTTTTCACGATTGGACACTTATGATCACAATTATACATACATATGCACGCTCGTACACACTCATGCTGCGCTCCCAGAAACTATCAGAGGCTACACTACTACACACTAAACACACACACACACACACACACACACACACACACACACACACACACACACACACACACACACACACACACACACACACACACACACAAACACACTCTTACACATACATAACCACACATATACACACACATACATTCATATACACGTACATACATACACATGTATAATTCCACACATGAACACGAACCTACAACCATGCTGTCCCGTATGTGTCGTAGTATCTTCGTCTGGTTGAGAAGCGAATAAATTTGGAACTCAATCCTCTGTTCCTTGTGATATTTTATTATAACGTGTGTGACTCTGTAAATAAGATTGTTATATACTGAAGAAAAGTCAGGTGTCTATCTTTTACTTTTGATGTTCTTATATGTACTTTAAGTCGACTATTTGACGTTGGGTGTTGTAGAGTCAAACTCCTGTAGAAAACTCATTTTGTACATAGAGAGAGAGAGAGAGAGAGAGAGAGAGAGGTTATTAGTTAACGATGTTTTAAATGAGACAAACAGATAATAATAGTAGGTAATTGCGTGACCAAAGAAAAACTCAAAAGAAAAAAAATAGATTAAAAAGATAACTGTCAATCTAGTCTTCAATGTGGAAGTCTATTTATTATATATATATTTTTCTTCTTCTTTTTTCTTCTTTATTTCCCGTTGCTGTATAATGAAATTAAAGAGAGCCTTGGATGACTGCGCTATTGGCACCTGATGGGGAATGCCACAGTTCTTTTTTGCAATGTAAATACTCAGTTATATATATATATATATATATATATATATATATATATATATATATATATATATATATATATATATATACATATATATATGTGTGTGTGTGTATGTGTATGTGTGTGTGGGTGGGTCTATATATATATATATATATATATATATATATATATATATATATATATATATATATATACATATATATATATATATATATATATTTCTTTGTACGTTATGTGTACATAGGTACTAGCTGCCCAACATGAAATAAAAAGTTAAAAAAAAAAAAAGTATTTAAGAAGGTTGTGGAATTTCGGTCTTTGCTTGTATGACAAACAAACAGATACAAAAATAATGTCAGGTTAGTAGTCTTTTTTGTCAAAATTTGTATTCATCCTAATCTTCGAATATATATATATATATATATATATATATATATATATATATATATATGTATATATATATATACATATATATATGTATATATATGTGTGTATGTGTGTGTATACATATGAATATATATAAATATATATATATGTGTGTGTGTGTGTGCGTGTGTGTGTATGTCTGTATGTGTGTGTGTGTGTGTATGTGTTTATATATATATATATATATATATATATATATATATATATATATATATATATTGAATACATATATATATATATATATATATATATATATATATATATATATATATATATGTATATATATATATATATTTCATTAGCTATGTGTTAATATCCGTGAACATGTAGATTCACAGATGTATATAATTTTCATATCCTGCTCTCAAAGGATTAATGAAGATCCATCATTAACATATTTGTGTACAAACTGTTCATACCCCCCCCCCCCCCACCGCCAGTCCTATTCCTTATCCTTCTCCCGAGTGAAATTTGTAACAAATCTGAGCTGTTATTGAGCCAGAATATGTGTCTAATATTATCCTTATAGAAGGTGTTAATAAAGTGTACTAATTCTTGAGCTGTTCATAACAAAAAAAATCAATAAAAAAGTTGTCAAGATTTCCCTCTTGTTTAATTTCATACATTTTCAAATATCGTTTTGATATTATGGCAATAGTTATAAATTTTATTATCATCATTATTATAAATTATGGTAACATGAAAATGAGTATCATTTATCATTGTCATTTATCATTTATTTGTAGAATATTTTTTGTTATTACTACTATTAACATTAGTTTTATTATTATCATAATTAACATTGTCATTATTATTATTATCATCATCATCCTTATCATTATCAAATTTACTTATGTTATTATTTTTAATACTATCATCATCATTGTCATTATTATTATCATTATCAATGTTGTTATTATTATCGTTATCATTACTATTTTATTACTACTACTATTATTTTTACTATTGTTACTATTATTATCATTATCATTACGAATATTGTTATGATCATTATTCTTATTATTGATATTATAATGATAATCATTAATATCATTATTATCATAATTACGATTTCTATTATTATTATTATCATTATTATTATTATTATTATTATCATCGTTATTATTATTATTATTTTTATTATTACTATTACAATTATTATTATTCATTATTATGATGTTTATTACTATTATTGCTATTGTCATTTATATTATTATTATTACTATTACAATTATTATTATTCATTATTGTTATGGTTATTACTATTATTGCTATTATCATTATTATTATCATTATATTACTATTATCATTATTATTATCATTATTATAGTACTATTATCATTATTATTATCATTATTATATTACTATTAACATTATTATTATTACCATATTATTATTACTATTGTTGTCTTTATTGTTGTTGTTTTTGTTATCATTATTATTGCAAGTGTTATTATTCTTATTATTGATATTACGATAATAT